GACACCTGCCCAGTAAAATGGTTATAACTTTCTGTATACATCTCCAACTGATGAACGGTTTGTTGAGTTGGAAACTAGTCTCAAAGGACTTTAATTTTATTGGTTATGCATCACACAACTCCTTATATACCTGGAGATATGATCGTTCAAAGTGAGGTCTTGTGCGCACTCATTTACAGATTTCGTCTAATATGAAACTTTTCTAACTTGGCTTAGACTTAGGCCTCTCCTTAGACCCCAATTCACCTCTAATATGAATTATATTCTTATTAATATATCCAATTGATACCCATTATATCATGAATCCTCATTTGCACACAAAATGAAATAGTTAGCCTACCTTGGCACGACAAAATCTCAAATTACTTGGAAAAATTTTCCGGGGCCTTACACTTGTAATGTAGGTTTAGGGAAGAGTCGGATAAGCATTTAGGTACAAGTGACTACTCGCTCCTTGAACACTAATCACATTTTCTTTCTTGTTGCTCTTTCCTTATTTTCCAACCATATAGCCTTCATTAGCTTTAACTTTTCCACCATTTAGCTGCCTCAACTACCTCTTATACCCACAACTCTTATATTTTTTTTTCTTCTTTTTCTCTTTTTTTTATATAATGCTTTTGGAGCATGAGTAGTTTCACATTTTGAGGTTCACTTTCCTACGCTCATTGTACAATCTTGCCGATTTTCGACTTTACACCACACCCCCAACTTAGGCTTTTAGCCTTATTCTCAATGCTCAAGGAGGGACGGGTTCAAAAGAGGGAATTATTTCACAAAAAGGAAAGGTTTGTAATGAGGTAGCCAAAGAAAAGGTTCAAGGCTCAAATGGGGTGACTAGTGATACTATCTGTACATTGGGCGGCTTGAAAGGCTAACTGGTTTTCCAAAAAAAATCACAAAGACTGCATAAGGTCATTTCTCCAACCAAATGTAATTATTATAAGCATCGAAAAACCAATAGGGCAAGTTCTTGATGGCAGAAGCAAACACAAGAATTATTTATATAAAGAACTCACACACATGGCACACGAACGTTTTGGCTCACATAGTTTGAAGCCCTCGAGTCAATACTTGGCAACTCACAGCTTTCATCATATATACATGTATAACTCTAGGTAGACATAGAGTCACAGAGCGAGCCTCAAGTTTACACAGTTGATCTCCTTTATTATTATTATTATTAATGGAAGGGTATAGGCTATATACAGACACACATGCTTGAGACTAGACAATTACACCAAACCGGTCAACATGTTTCATTCTACTGTCTCGGTTCTACTATTACACCTTTGGGAAAGAACCTGGTGAAGAAAAACCATGGGGAATTTATTGCTAATTACTAAAGATGGACAACTATCTACTTGTTTTTGTTGTTTTGTTATGTTTTTTTATATGCACAAGGATAACATAACTTATGTACGGAGATCACAAAACACTAATATATACACAATCACGGATTCCACAACACAACTTATGTACGGAAATCATAACACTAAATCACAACACTAATATATACAAAATCACAAGATACACATGGGTACATAAGTCTATTTGTAGCACAAAAGCATCAATACGTACAACAATTGCCAATGTCATTCAAGTCTAATATTCACAACCAAAGGTATATACAAGGATACCACCCCCAACTAAAAAGTATGCATTGTCCCCAATGAATAAGAACATAGAGTAGAGTTTAAGGGGCTCCCTGAGGCGCACTAAGCGCTACGGGAGTCGGCAGCCGGCTGAGTGATGGTGGGGTCACCCTCTGATACTAAAGCTGTGACCGATGAGATCTCGGCCTGAAGAGTGACCTCCACTGATTGAGGAGGGATCTTTGGCTGGCCCAATACTGGAGCTGGGGCCTGTGAGATGCTAGCCTCGCCTGCTGATGGCTGAGTGGCCGATGGATCTGCAGGGGCGGCCATATCTGCTAGCAAATGTTGTATTTCCATCTGAATGTCTGCTTGCTCCTCGTCCTCAGCTGTAGGAGCAGCAATCTGCTTGCCCTTCTCCTGAGGGCCATCATCATCCGTGGACCATGAATCCTCCTCATCCTCGCCCTCATCAGCCTCCTCACCCTCGGACTCAGTAGAGCATCTGGAAACCTCCTCATCAGGAATATCAATACGTATAGGAAAAGTTGGAGGATAGGAAGCCTCAGCAGTCGGAGGTGTGAAGTCTATCATCAAAGTGGTAAAATCAAGACCCAAATCAGGTGTTGTTGTGTCTGCTCTCTGCTCACCTTCCTTGGGCAGGAGAGATGATAGATCGAACTCCAAAGTTTGCATCTTATGTAGCTCGGTCTTCATAGTGGCAACCTCCTCCCGTAGCTTAGGCAAATCACTCACCTCACCTCACTCAATTTTCTCAACCCTCAACTCAAGCTGTTGTAGGCGATCCCCATACGTTGCTTGTTGTTGTTGGAGTGCTATCACTGAGGATTGTATAGCAGTCAAGGCTTGTTTGATGAGGTTGGGCAAGATCTTCAAAAGCTGGTCTACCTTAGTATTGGCATGATGAGCAATGAGACCAAGCCTTGAGTCGGCTGGCAATGCAGCAAGAAACTAAGTAGTGGTGGACTGAGAAGTGGGCTGTGTAGTGGAAGTGGATGCAACCGGAGCCTGGGAGGACACAGGAGCCTGGGACTATGAGGGATCTACATCAACTGGCATTGGAGTCTGAACCTCTGGGGGAGTAACAGCATCACTGATGTGCGTGATGTCAATATCTTTTAGCACCTTCCCTATCTTGTAAGAGTGGGACATGAGTGGGACGTTCACATCCTTGCAGATGGCTGTGATCAAATAGGGGAATGGCAGTGAAGTGGTTGTCTGCCTTGCTCGGATCCCTAACTCTTGGAAGATAAGGGCACCCACATCGATTTTGTTTCCCGTCATAATGCAGGCAATGAGAAGAGCCTTCTCAATGCTGATGTCAGTTTCATTTGTGGACGGTATCAGTCGAGAGGTGACGAAACTGAGCCAAAATCAACCCTCTCGTGTGAGATCCTCTTTGAAAATTTTTTGCACATGACTGATACACGTAGGGGTTCCCTTTGCTATCACTGATGCTATCCAACTTCGCTCATTTTCCCGATTCACCCATTTGGCTTGGTACTCAGCTATTCCCGGGCTCCAGTCAAGGATGTATTATTTATTAATACTCTTAGCGTTGCAGCTCACATCTTTCCCCCGAACTAGTACAGTATCACAGAATACCCTGTTGTGCTTGTGGTGAGCAGTCTTGAAAGCTCCGTATGAGGCATAAAACTCACGGACAAGGGTTTCATTGTAGTCATCTGGCAGCTCAGTGAAACACTCCTATTTTCTAGCTTTTATGTTCTCCCAAATGTGGGGGTGCTGCTCTTTAAGTCCGTTCATGATCACTTGCTTCTCGGCAAGGATTTTTCTCTTTGTTAGCCCTTCTCTATGGAGTTCCCTCGAACCATCAATTGCAAACCAAAGTTGGTAGTCATCTCCCCTCTTTCTTCTTGCCTCTACCTGTAGGTCTACTGAAGGCAAGGTCTCCTCCTCATCAGACTAGGAGGGATGTGGAACATTAGGGTCCATCCTGGGTCGTTTTGCTTGTGACGCTTGACGAATGGTGGAGGCCCTTTTTAATGCAGAGGATGCATGTTTCTTGGGAGCCATATCTGCACGAAAGTGAAATGTGAGCGACATTGTAAGCATCAGTGAAAAGAGAACAGAAAAAAAACAAAGAAGAAGTTAAGAATGCGATAGGTATGCGGTCGCATAACCACTATGTGGGCCGCAAACTTGTCGCAAACTTGCAGCTCTTGAACTGATACAAGTATTCGATGGGTTATGCGATCGCATAACCACTATACGGACCGCATAACCATCGCAAACTTGATTCTATAGAAAACCAAAGCCTGAAATGCGATCGCAAATTCCACCGCAAAGTAGGAAATACGATTGCAAAATGGTCGCAAAAATCATGTTGATAAATTGGGTGCACTGTCTCAGTATGCTGTAAGTTTGCGGTCTGCATATCAATTATGCGATCGCAAACTCACCGCATTTTAGCATCTTCCTCAGTCAATCTAGGGTTCAGTTATGTGGAAAAAATGCGGACCGCATTTTGATTTTGCGAGACGCAAAGTTTATTGTCCCAAACGATTAAACTAACCCTCAACAATGGAGGTCCCAATTCGTACTACCCAGTACCCCAGACACATTTTCTACCCAAAAACTACCACGATATAGGAAAACAACTACTATAAACAACACAATCAAAAATAAAGTAAGAAAATAAAGAAGAAACACATGAGAGACAACGTGAAATTGAAAATGGAAAATTAGGGCAAGGACACATACTAGTGAAGATGAGTATGAACACTATGGAGATTATGAATTGGTTTTCGTCCTTTGTAAGATTCCACTAGCCGTTGTTTTTTGCCACTTTTTGGGTCGTTGTTTGCCTCTCTTTTCTTTTCGTTTTTTTTCTTCTGTTAGAAAAATTTTCTTGTTTTTGTTTTGTTTTGAGTGTGTGAGAGACATACTTGACCATTTTGCGGTGCTTAAGTCATCGCATAACACACTGTGTGACCGCATAAGTGTTATGCGGTAGGTTCAAGTGACTTGCTGAAGGTCAAAGAATGTGTTGCACAATGCGATCGCATAGTTGAAATGCAGTCCACAAAGTGCACCACCTTGTCGCATTCTGACCAAAAATATTAGCCAAACTCACTGTTTTGGTTTGCGACCAATGCAGACCGCAGATTTGTAGCAAACTTCACACGGTAATTTTTCTTCCTTTCTTATGCATTCCTACCCAGTGTTATGATCGTTTGAATCCCCTGCACTCTAACACACATTTTAAATTGATCAAGTAAATCTATCTATCAAAAATTAAAAATTTAAAGAACAACAAGGGTGTTACCACACATCGGTTGCCTCCCATGAAGAGCTTGATTTAACGTCGTGGTACGACAAAGTTGGCATTTCTTTTCACTCATTTGTCGGGCATGGACCATCTTAGAGAGCCAACTGTTCCACTAAATGTTTTTCTCCATCTGCGCCCAAGTAGTGCTTGATTCGTTGGCCATTGACTTTGAATGTCTGGAGCCCATCTTCCGATGCTAGTTCCACAGCTCCAAAAGGAGAGACATTTACCACTTTGAATGGACTGGACCATTTTGATTTGAGCTTGCCTGAAAACAATTTGAGCCTTGAGTTAAAGAGTAAAACCAAGTCACTCGACTTGAACTCCCTCTTGAAGATCTTTTTGTCATGGACGGACTTTATCCTTTCCTTATACACAACTGCACTCTCATATGCATGGAAACGGAATTCCTCCATTTCATTGAGTTGTGTTAACCCCAAATTCACAGCTTCAGCCCAATCCAAGTTCAACCTCTTCAGAGCCCACATGGCCTTGTGCTCTAGTTCCATGGGTAGATGACAAGCTTTGCTAAAGACTAACCGATAAGGATAAGTAACAATAGGAGTCTTGTACGTCATGCGGTATGCCCATAATGCATCATCTAGCTTCCTTGACTAATCGGTCCTGTTTGCATTGACAGTCTTTGCTAGAATGCTCTTGATCTCCCGGTTGGACACCTCAACTTGACCACTAGATTGGGGATGATAAGGTGTGGCCACCTTGTGCTTGACACCATACTTCTCTAGCAGTCCCGTGAAAGCCTTGTTGCAAAAATAAGACCCACTTTCACTAAGAATGGCCCTAGGAGTGTCAAACCGAGTGAATATGTTTTTCTTCAAGAATGCGGTCACACTTCTTGCCTCGTTGTTTGGTAAGGAAATTGCTTCCACCCATTTGGACACATAGTCCACAACTACCAAGATATATTTCATCCCATAAGAGCTAACAAAGGGACCCATAAAATCAATTCCCACACGTGGAAGATTTCTATCTCCATCACAAAGTGCATTGGCATCTCATGCCTCTTGGAGATTGATCCTTGCCTTTGAAATTGGTCACAAGCCTTGACCATTTGATTGGCATCATGATAGATTGACGGCCAATAGTAACCACATTCAAGCACCTTAGCCACCGTTCGATTTCCTCCATGATGACCCCAACCAGTGAGCCATGGAATGCCTTTAGAATTGGCATAATCTCTTCTTCTGGGATGCACCTTCTGATAATATTGTCAGCACAAACACAAAACAAGAATGGTTCTTCCAAATAGTATTGCCGACAGTCTCTCAAGAACTTCCTCTTTTGATAGGATTCAAATCCATCAGGAATAAGGTCACTAACCAAATAGTTAGTAATATCGGCATACCAAGGAGCAAAAGTGCTAGATAGTGCCAATATACATTCATCCGAGAATGCATCGCTGATTTCAAGATTTCCCTTTGGTCTCCCTGCCTCTTCAAGCCTTGATAAATGATCTGCCACTTGATTTTGAGTTCCCTTGTGATCCTTGACCTCGAAGTCAAATTCTTGAAACAATAAGACCCATCGAATCAACCGAGGATTTGCATCCTTCTTTGCCATGAAATAGCGAAGAGCAACATGATTTGTGTACACTATCACCTTGGATCCCAACAAATAAGCCCGGAACTTCTCAAAGGCATAGACAATGTCAAGAAGTTCTTGCTCAGTTACTGTGTGTTTCATTTGCGCCCCATTGAGTGTCTTGCTTGCATAATAGACCGGGTGGAGAACCTTGTTGTGATGTTGGCCAAGCATTGCCCCAATAGCTACACCACTAGCGTCACACATGAGCTCAAAAGAAAGAGACCAATCGGGTGGGACAATAATAGGTGTCGTGGTGAGCCTTTGCTTCAATTCCTCAAAGGCTTTGAGGCATTTCTCATCAAACACAAATTTGGCATCTTTCTCAAGGAGTTTCCACATAGGATTTACAATCTTGAAAAAATCATTGATGAAATGCCTATAGAATCTGGCATGCCCGAAGAAACTTCGAACACCTTTAACGGAAGTAGGTGGAGGAAGCTTAGAAATAATCTCGATCTTTCCCCGGTCAACCTCTATGCCACGCTTTGAAATTATATGCCCTAACACGATGCCCTCATCCACCATGAAATAACATTTCTCCCAATTGAGCACAAGGTTGGTCTCTTCACATCTCTTAAGCACTTGTCTAAGATTGTTAAGACAATGCTCAAAAGAATTACCTACCACCGAGAAGTCATCCATGAAGACTTCTACAAAATCCTCTACCATGTCGGAGAAAATGGATATCATGCATCTTTGAAAAGTAGTCGGGGCATTGCATAAACCAAATGGCATCCGGCTAAAGGCAAAAGTTCCATAGGGGCAAGTAAATGCCGTCTTCTCTTGATCCTCCAATGCTACGTTGATTTAGTTGTAGCCGGAATATCCATCAAGGAAACAATAGAATGACCTTCCCGCTAGCCGATCAAGCATTTGATTAATAAAAGGCATAGGGAAATGGTCTTTGCATGTGGAATTGTTGAGCTTCCGATAATCCATGCACACCCTCCAACCGGTCACCTATATTGTTGGGATGGGCACATTTTTCTCATTTTCAATTATGGTCATGCCTCCCTTTTTCAGCACACATTGCACCGGACTCACCCAAGAACTATCAGAAATAGGGTAGACTACCCCGACATCCAACCATTTGATGATTAATTTCTTTACCACCTCTTGCATTGACAGGTTCAACCGTCGTTGATGTTCCATACTTGGTTTTGTTTTACCCTCCAGTTGGATTTTGTGCTCGCAAATTCCTGCAGGAATCCCACGGATGTCCGTAATTGTCCATACAATGGCTTGCCTATGCTCCTTCAAGACTTCCAACAATTGTTCTACCTGCACATCATTCAACA